ATTGGAAAATTAACAACTCTCACCTCCTAGATCAAAATTTTATTAACGAAATAAAGAAAATCATTCATAATACAAAAGAAGATAGCTTTGATTCTTACAGGGGTCTTTGGGACGTTATAAAAATCAAAATAAAACAGTTTGGAATGACCTTTGGTAAAAAGAAAAAAAAAGAAATCACATTGAAAAAAGAAAAGTTAAAAAAAGATATTGAAGACTGTAAAAACGATTCGAATCTAGTAAACTGTACGATACTACAGAAGAAATTATTTGAAGCAGAGTCGGATTTAAATCATATTATAGATCAGGAGGTGAGAGGTGCAATTACCAGATCACGTGTGAAATGGACAGAGGAGGGGGAGCGCTCGACTAAATACTTTTTTGGACTTGAAAAATCAAACGGCAAGAAAAAATGTATTAGTAAATTGATAGACAACGACGGAAATGAACTAACGGACCAGGATAACATCTCTAGTCACGTGGTTAACTTTTATCAGAATCTGTATAACTCAACTAACCCATCTCCCACTGAGATAGATAATTATGTAACCAGCAGCGAGCTTGAGCAAATCCCACAGGAAATTACTGAAACTCTGGAGGGACCTATTTCGTTACACGAAATGGATGCTATTGTGAACAAGTTAACAAACAATAAATCCCCAGGTTGGGACGGGTTATCTGCTGAATTTTATAAAACCTTTTGGTTGGATATCAGGCAGATCATTTACGACTGCTATCTAGAATCTATTGACAGTGGATGCCTGTCGCCTTCGCAGAGAATAGGTATTCTTACTCTTATTCCCAAGCCTAAAAGCCCAGTGGAACTTAACTACATAAAAAATTGGAGACCTATTACTCTGCTTAACATTGACTATAAAATCTTCACACATATAGCTAAGAATAGGATTATGAAAGCTATCCCCAGCATAATCAGCAAAACCCAGTCAGGCTTTCAAGCAGGCAGGAGTACAGCAGATAATCTTATTCTCATGTCAATGGTTCTGGAATCATTTAACAACGACTCGGAACAAGAGGGTCTCCTTTTACAGATTGATTTTGAAAAATGTTTTGACTCGGTAGAACATAACTTTGTCTTCAGTACGCTTGAAAAATTAGGTTTCAGTGATTATATTATTAAGTTGATTAAAGTGGCTTTTCAAGCGTGCTTTAGCTACGCAAATATTAATGGGTTTTTAAGCGCACCTATTTATCTCCTCAGAGGTCTTCATCAGGGTAGCCCACTCTCTCCTATTCTATTTCTACTTGTGGCTCAAACTTTCTCGAATAAACTTCAGATCAACCCTAATATCATGGGTATTAACATATCGGGTGTGGAAATTCTACAGAGTCTCTTTGCAGACGACACTGATCTGTTTCTGAAAGCTTCAATAGAGAGTGTAGAGGCAGTTATGGTAGAACTCAGAACGTTTGCTCAGTGCTCGGGGTGTAAAGCTAACATCGACAAAACTAGATGTATTCCTTTAGGTCGTGCTCGCCTTAATACAACTCTTCTAGCGTCCCTTCAAATGGACTACGGCGATGATTTTATTACAAATAACTTTACGGCTTTGGGTATAGTTTATAGGAATGATTGCTCACTTATGGATATAGTCAACAGTAATTATAATGATAAATTGATTAAGGTTCGGTCTTGGATTAACAGGTGGAACAAGAGGGATCTGACGGTAATGGGTAAATGTACAGTTATCAAAACTCTCCTCTTTTCCCAATTAACATACCTGGTTCCTCCTCTCCCCAGACCAGATGCTTCCTTTATCAGAACTTTTGACACGAATATATTCCATTTTCTTTGGGGTTGCAAACGGGATAAAATAAAACGTGAAATCATAACCCGAAACAAGGAACATGGAGGCCTGGGACTATTTTATTTATCTGATTTTATTATAGGTCTTAAAACTAGTCTTATTTCAAAGCTACTAAATGATTCCTTTCACCACACTTGGAAAGATATTATGATAATGCAACTGAAATTTCCCGAGCATATCACCATCTCTGTAGAAAACGGTCTCGCAAATATCAACTGTAATTTTACACAGGACGTACTTGATTGCTACACTGAGTGGAAGATTAGTTCGGCTAATGCAGCCTTGGGTTCTATTGATCACTGTGTGTGGTCCAACCCAGCAATAACTGACATCGGGTCCAAACTTTGGAACAATCATCTTATTGATAAGGGAATATTTTACATCTCAGATTTCCTTTCTATAGACCAAAGTACACTCCTTAACTACGATATGTTCATGAACAAGTGGGAGCTGTCTCCGAATACGATTTCCAAAATTGATTACTGTAACATTATCATGGGGATACGGAGATATAACTGTCCCACGATTAACTCAAGGAATATCGAATTTGTTGACCCGAATATAAAACTTCAATTTTTACATTCTGCAACTGGGCAGGTGAAGGGAAGCAAAATTCGGGATAAAATGTACGATTCTATTTGCCCAAACGAGCTGTCTCCTTACGTCAGTGGGTTATCGACTTGAACAGTCATTCCATCGACTGGGCAGTCGTTCTAAGCAACCTGTTTTTCTTAGTATCTAAAAACTTTAAGTTGATTCAATTTCAGTACAAACTTTTAATGAGGATCACAACTTGTAGATACATGAGACATAAGATGAAAATTGTTACAGATACTCCCATGTGTAGCCTGTGTAAAACATATTTAGAAACTATTCCTCATATTTACCTCCATTGTATTCACACAAATAGCTTCATCACAATACTTGAAGACTTTATTAAAAGGAAAATCGATAGAAATTACGAAGATCCCACTAAAATTAATTTTATAGTCTGTAATCACACTTCACAAATTATAAATTATTTTAATATCGTTGCCAAATGGTACATTAGCAAAAAATTTCAGGCAGGAGACTTGCCGATCTGGCAGGGGTATATCAAACTTCTTAAGCTATCACTTCAAGGAGATAAAATAGGTCACAGAAGTTCTATTGTGTCGATCTTGGCCGATTAGGGTAATATGTCCACTCCATTTTTATTGCTGTCTATGTTATTTAATTTTTATCAGTTATTGTTACAATCTTGCAGTACTACTAGTAGCTGTCTTTTTGTAGTACATGCCCTGCTTCCTTCCTTTCCTAAATTTCTTACAAGCTCCTCCAGCCTCCTCTCTTACACCCTTTTCACTCACTTCATTTCACTCATTCACTTTATATTTTATTACCACAGTATCTGCCAAAACCAACATGGCCTAAGTAGAAAGGGGCCTTGACGTTGTTTCCCGCTTGGCCCTGCATCCCAAGCTGACGGTTGGCCTCCACTCTAAAGAAACTTACCTTCAGTGAAGGCCGATGGTCAACAATTAGCGATGTAAGAGCTTGGCGGGTACAAATCCTGACCTCCTTTTACACCTTTGGGACGACTTTCGCAAATGCGAGAGGAATGACCCCGAGGAGGGCTCCATTGGTTTTAGTAGGTTGCATATTTAAAAAAAAATAAAAAAAAAAAAAAAAAAAAAAAAAAAAAAAAAAAAAAAAAAAATTATTTGTTATATAGTAGTGTTGAAAGTATTAAAACTTTTTTTAAATACTTTCAACACTACTATATAACAAATAATTTGAGCCTGAAGATGGCGTTGACGCCGAAAATTTGCCCTTACTCCTAACTTCCTTGTTTCACTTGTCCTTGTCTCTTCCAACCGGATAATATCCAGATATCAATGAACCCTATTATCCAAAGATGATAACACTCAATTTACAAGTTATCCTGTGTCAACTGGTTTTACTGGTACTAACCACATTCTTTGTATTACTGCTTGAATGGGTTGTCTGGTTAATGTTGTTTGTTACAGGAAAATAAATTGAAAAGGTGTGAACAAATTTTGCTCTCCGGAAATATTTTATACCCCAAATAACAAAAACCTATAATTCGGGAAAATGGCTCCCCGCTGATTAAACACTCCGCTGTCTAACAAATTATTTCAATCCCATGAATTACTCTAATTTCTTTTTCGAAATTCGTACTGACTGGAAGTGAGCAGGGATTTTCTTACCACCACTGTTTGACTACTAATTTCACTCCTAAACTACTGTAGATGCACCGAAGACAATCAGTTTTTATTAGCATAACCAAAAACTGTAATTGTGTTTTCCCTTAAACACGTTTTAAGGGACTACAATTTGCAATATATATGTGCAATGTTACATACAGGGTGGCCCAAAAGTAACTGCCCACACGCAACCCTTTAATAACTCATGTATAGAAACTTTGAAGTTCCTAGCTGAAAGCGTTCTCATTTTGTGGTGACAATAGTGAAAAGAGGGAGTGGCGTGCCACATCCACTGTAATTAATTAGATTTGACGAAACTTTCAGGAAATCTAAGTTTGACCCATATCTATAATCTCTGAAATTTCTGTGCAATTCTAAGAAGAATTACGTGAGTTATTAGAGGGTTGCGTGTGGGCAGTTACTTCTGGGCCACCCTGTATTTAAACTTGACATGGAATGAGAATAACATTCGTCAAAGTTTTCAATGTACCCAGTGGCGTAACGTTGCCTGTTGGCGCCCCCCCCCCAAAAAGGCGCCCCCCTGTTGGCGCCCCCTCCCCTTTTGGTGCCCCTCCCTAAAATTGATCAAATTAGGTGATTTTAGAGGATACGCCGGTAAAATCTCTAAAAAAGTGTGTATCTAGAGCAAAACGCGCAGTTTTGCTAGTAATTTAGTTAGGTTTTCGAAATTGTCCCACATTCAAACGACGATTTGGCGCCCCCTAAGACGGCGCCCCCCTGCACATCGGGGTCAGCGGGGCCCTTCGTTGGACCAAATTATCACAAATTACAGGTTAATTTTGATAATTTGGGTGTCACACTGCATCTAAGAGAATTGCTGAATGTAACTATATTTTTGTATCAAAATGCTGTTTTGAAGAAGATAATATAGAAGGTGTGAAGAAAGATACACATATCAGATTCAGTAGAATAGGGGCCCTTTATTTCGCCACTGACAGAACCATTATTTAGGATGCAAAATGTTGGAGAAGTACATTACTCCTCTCTTGATGTCCTATGTGGACAAGTACATCAAGGTTAGCAAACATCTACCAAATGTGTCAACTGTTTCTTTCCAGAGGACTGTTCAAATTCACTTATTGAGTATTTGTGCAAGGAATTTTTAGGATGAGTTAATCCCTCGTCAACACAGAATAATTTTTTGTTAGCTCATGATTTATGTTTCAGAACCTCTCCCCAAATGATCTGGGTGTGTCTCTTTGGGGAGGAGATGTGTTGTTAAAGAATCTGGAGCTCAAACTTGACGTCTTAGAACAGGTGACAGAATATAACATCTTAAATTCTGCATTCTTAATTATAAGTTGATGATGTTCACCTTGGAAGTGGATGTACATTATACTGCTATTCACTACAATTTCTTAATATTTTCTTAGCCAATTGTGATCTATTAATTATCTTCAGCTTATCAAAATTATATGTGAATGAATGCAGAATAACTTGAGTCTCGTCTCTAGTTTTTTTGCATATTATTGAGACAACCCTAAGCTTCTACTACAAACCCGATATAATAATACTGTTACTTAACAACTCCTTTACCCCATCAGGAGTTCCTATTCCCAGTCAAGTTTCTGAGCGGTAGGATACACGAGCTAAAGATACACATTCCCTGGACTAGTCTAGGGTCTGATTCAGTTGTTATCACGCTCAACACTTTGGAGTGTTCCTTGACTTATAGACCTCTAGAGGAAACTAAAAGAGGTGTTTCATTATAGCTGCACAATTACCTGCTTATATGTTAAATGTTTATGTTACTTCTTGATGTGGATTTGGATTGAAATTGAACACTTTGAATAAACCTAAACAGAATCTATGTATTTTATAGAAAGAGTCATTAAGATGTCAATTGTTCAGACATTAACCTCATTACATCCTCAACTAGAAGCAGCAAGTACAGCAGAAGATGAAGAAGACAAGGAATCAGATAGTGGTATATCTGATGCTAGTGGACAACAAGCTGTTGCACCCAGCTATGTGCAGCTTCTCACTCAGGTAACAACTCTTGTTTAGCTGTGTCACTGTATACAGAGATGTAGTATTTAATTCAGTGCACAATTTGGGGAAAATAAAACAGTGAATAGGGTTTTACTGTAAGTTGTGGAATTTTGCTTACGAAAGATTATCTTTGCAGCGGATACTGAACAACGTAGAAATTCACGTGAACAACCTGATTTTCAAATATATTGAAGATGACATTGTTCTATCAGTCAACATCAAATCAGCTTGTGAGTTTTCCGACACATTTTTTCATAATCTACCATTTTTCATCTTACAAAATTGAGATTTGTTTGAACAAATATAAAAGCAGATGGTTGAAACCGCTGGCATAAACAAATAACATTCAATAAAGACATGATGATATGACAATATTATATTATAAAATGTATTGTTACAAATGCACATATTGTATAAAAATAGATAAAACACGCCAGGTATGTACACTGTAAACTCGGAGTGGAGCCAGGCTTTCTCTGATGTACAGTCTCCTGAACTGACTCTGAGAAGAGTTATTGAGCTGGTAGATCTCACTATCTGTCTGGATAGAAACAGCGCGTCAGGTAACTAATAACAGTAACTATAGTAACCATAGTCAGGTAACTAATAACAGTAACTATAGTAACCATAGTCAGGTAACTAATAACAGTAACTATAGTAACCATAGTCAGGTAACTAATAACAGTAACTATAGTAACCATAGTCAGGTAACTAATAACAGTAACTATAGTAACCATAGTCAGGTAACTAATATCAGTAACTATAGTAACCATAGTCAGGTAACTAATAACAGTAACTATAGTAACCATAGTCAGGTAACTAATAACAGTAACTATAGTAACCATAGTCAGGTAACTAATAACAGTAACTATAGTAACCATAGTCAGGTAACTAATAACAGTAACTATAGTAACCATAGTCAGGTAACTAATAACAGTAACTATAGTAACCATAGTCAGGTAACTAATAACAGTAACTATAGTAACCATAGTCAGGTAACTAATAACAGTAACTATAGTAACCATAGTCAGGTAACTAATAACAGTAACTATAGTAACCATAGTCAGGTAACTAATAACAGTAACTATAGTAACCATAGTCAGGTAACTAATAACAGTAACTATAGTAACCATAGTCAGGTAACTAATAACAGTAACTATGGTAACCAAAGTCAGGTAACTAATAACAGTAACTATAGTAACCATAGTCAGGTAACTAATAACAGTAACTATGGTAACTAATAACAGTATCTTATATTAGATTTGCTTCATTTCAGATTAACGATAAGGTAAATTATACCAGTATCTTATATGTATGCTATTTGCAGGTCGAATAGAAGTGTACGAAGAGCCAGTACTTTACAGAGCGCACATAAACTGCAGGTCTCTGTTCACCTTCCCTAACGTCTACTCCTTCTCTCCCTCCGCTATATTCGTACATGTGCTGTGTGACGATATTAACCTCAACATTTCCGATCAACAGGTCTGCAAGTAGATTACTCTGGTTAATTAACTTAAGAAGACCCCCCCCCCGGCCCCCTTGATAACAAACATGACTAGTATTTACAACCGGAACTATATATATATACAATATTATATATATAATTTAGTTAGTGAAACTATAACTTGCTGTATACCCTGTATTATATATATAGTAACTATAGGTAACACTACTATAACTAACTATGTATATTATATATATACATTATATATAGTTAGTGAAACTATAACTTGCTCCCCCACAGTTCCCTGCCCTGATAGTGCTACTAAGAAGATTGTACTACCTGACCAACTCTTCAGACACAACTAAACAAGTAGTCCACCCTGCTCCCCCTCCCGTCATGTCAGCTGACGAGGAAGGTAATAGTCAAACACAAGGATATATTCTGTGTTGTGTAGTCGAACACACAGATATATTTTATGTAATTTAGTCAAACACAATGATATATATTCTGTGTTGTGTAGTCGAACACAATGATATATTTTGTGTTCTGTAGTCCTACACAATGATATATTTTGTGTTCTGTAGTCCTACACAATGATATATATTTTGTGTTCTGTAGTCAAACACAAGGATATATTATGTATGTCCCCAGGTTGGATAGGTTGGGGATGGAGTATGCTAGGAATGGCAGCATATGAAGACTACGGAGTCTCCCCCGCTCCTCCTGCTGAAATGCTCTTCAACTTCTCCCTCTTTGTTAAGAGTTTCAATATCTCATGTACACAAGTTCTAGCTCAGCGCAGAAAGAGGTTAGCTTTATGTCACAGTGTGTAGATCAATATTTTATTCTAGGTTTGATTCTTGGAGAATGAACTGTTTTTCAAGATACATCAGTGAACACCGTACTGGTGGTTTTATAATATAATGGCCTAATGTCGGTTAATAATCTACTAAGGGTAACCAGTGTGTTCTTGGTTAACTATCGCAAATAACTATGTTCTCTATATTATTATATATTATATATATTATTATATAATATCTAGTTAAATTATCTCTGTGGCTCAGGTCGGCAAAGTACCAGTTCACTCCGTTCTTGAACATGAAGATACGAGGTTTAGCGATGGAGTGCGTTGCTAAGGGTTACTACTACTCTCACTTCACATTGGGAGTGTGTAGTTTAACTGCAAACCTCTCTCACCATGTTAGTTAATTAGTGAAAATTAGTTAATTAGTTAGTTATTTAATGAGTTGCCAGCCCTTTAACAGAAAATTAGTCCATTTACAGAAACCAACCACCGAAAACAAAAATTTAATTTGCCCTTTACAAGTTTGGTATGCCATGAACCCTGTTTCAAGTATGGTATTAAACCCTGATTTACAATGTTAATAATGGTTACCAGAAGGAGCAGATGTTTGTGTTCGGAGATGTTGAGGTAGATACTATGAGTACATTAACAGAGGGCTCCCTGTTCGACCTGCTGCCTCAACTAGACTATGAGGTGATATAATCTGTGTAAATAATATGGTAATTAATTAATTAAATAAAGCTACATTAACTAATTAATTAATTAAAACTAAGTTAATTAAAGAAAACTCAGGACAAGAGACACGCTACCGAGGAGGAGACACTAAAGTTCACCAAGTTCCGTGCTCTGTGGCTCTGTATGTTAAACATTATACCGGAGTTCAAACAGCGCCCTTTGTGAGTACATATACACAACCTTTAATATACCTGTATACCTGTATACCTTTACTATATTATTATCATCACTTTCACTTGAAATTATCTTGCACTATGGTGTGGTGAATATTTAAACCAACACACCATAATATCGTACACCAACACACCATAATCAATAATGCTAATATTAAGTGAAGTTAACCCCGAGTTACCGTAAAGTTTGGGGGAAATGGTTAATCAGAATTTGGTTGTACTTTATTAGCGAAAATAGTGAAGGCAGTTGATGAAGACATAGTTTTAAAGTTTTAATATATACAGGTATTAAATAAATTACAGTTATTAAATAAATTACAGTTATTAAATAAATTACATTTTTAAATAAATTACAGTTTTAAATAAATTACAGTTATTAAATAAATTACAGTTATTAAATAAATTACAGTTTTAAATAAATTACAGTTATTAAATAAATTACAGTTTTAAATAAATTACAGTTATTAAATAAATTACAGTTATTAAATAAATTACAGTTATTAAATAAATTACAGTTATTAAATAAATTACAGTTTTAAATAAATTACAGTTATTAAATAAATTACAGTTTTAAATAAATTACAGTTATTAAATAAATTACAGTTATTAAATAAATTACAGTTATCAAATAAATTACAGTTATTAAATAAATTACAGTTATTAAATAAATTACAGTTATTAAATAAATTACAGTTATTAAATAAATTACAGTTATTAAATAAATAATTACAGTTATTAAATAAATTACAGTTATTAAATAAATTACAGTTATTAAATAAATTACAGTTATTAAATAAATTACAGTTATTAAATAAATTACAGTTATTAAATAAATTACAGTTATTAAATAAATTACAGTTATTAAATAAATTACAGTTATTAAATAAATTACAGTTATTAAATAAATTACAGTTATTAAATAAATTACTCTATAAATCAGGGACGAACTGGACAGATTGGAGAGAAACGAGACCGAGCTGTTTGAGATACGGATGGTAGCTAACAAGTTTACTGTATTCCTCAATAACTCCATCCTCAACTCCCTCTCCCTCTTCTTTAACTCCAAGGTTTGCTTTCACTTTCTCTTTCTCTTCTTTTCCTTGTTCGTTCTCTCTTTCAGCTCCTCGATTACTCAGTCTCCTTCACATTCGAGACTAAAAATTAATAATTGTTAAACTTTGAATTTCCAGACATTTTGTGCTATTTAACCTAAAGTAAATATTTGTAAAGTTGTAAACCTCTCTCCCAGACGATGTGGGCTCTATTTGAGCGTCTGCCCGCCCAACCCAACCCTAAACGTGCTGTCTCCACTACACGACTACACGTCATGTCACACCTGAGTGTCACCTGTCTAGGTGCTACTGTGTATCTCTCAGGGAGCAACGTTAGGTTAGCTACTTTCTCTTTCACTTTCTCTTTCACTTTCTCTTTCACTTTCTCTTTCACTTGTTACGTCACTTAAGCCATCTGTACAGCTGCACAAAGGTAACTTTGTTTATTAAGTGTATTAGTTTTTATTCACTTGAACACCAACCTGAATAAAATGAAAATTGATCGTCTATTTACGATTAAGAATATTATTTACCTAATAACCCCACCTGCAGAGAGGGAGACGGTACACACCCAGTCTGCATGTTCTACACGTGCTCGCGCGTTGACCTGGACCAACACGCCCCTCTGTGGGTCTCACAGCTTACCAAACTAGGAGCACAACACTCGCTCACCACTAAACTGTGTTATTGTAACTACGCTCTCAGGGTACCCACCTTATTTTAATAATGTACTGTGTTATTGTAACTACGCTCTCAGGGTACCCACCTTATTTTAATAATGTACTGTGTTATTGTAACTACGCTCTCAGGGTACCCACCTTATTTTAATAATGTACTGTGTTATTGTAACTACGCTCTCAGGGTACCCACCTTATTTTAATAATGTACTGTGTTATTGTAACTACGCTCTCAGGGTACCCACCTTATTTTAATAATGTACTGTGTTATTGTAACTACGCTCTCAGGGTACCCACCTTATTTTAATAATGTACTGTGTTATTGTAACTACGCTCTCAGGGTACCCACCTTATTTTAATAATGTACTGTGTTATTGTAACTACGCTCTCAGGGTACCCACCTTATTTTAATAATGTACTGTGTTATTGTAACTACGCTCTCAGGGTACCCACCTTATTTTAATAATGTACTGTGTTATTGTAACTACGCTCTCAGGGTACCCACCTTATTTTAATAATGTACTATGTTATTGTAACTACGCTCTCAGGGTACCCACCTTATTTTAATAATGAACTGTGTTATTGTAACTACGCTCTCAGGGTACCCACCTTATTTTAATAATGTACTGTGTTATTGTAACTACGCTCTCAGGGTACCCACCTTATTTTAATAATGTACTGTGTTATTGTAACTACGCTCTCAGGGTACCCACCTTATTTTAATATTGTACTATGTTATTGTAACTACGCTCTCAGGGTACCCACCTTATTTTAATAATGTACTGTGTTATTGTAACTACGCTCTCAGGGTACCCACCTTATTTTAATAATGTACTGTGTTATTGTAACTACGCTCTCAGGGTACCCACCTTATTTTAATAATGTACTGTGTTATTGTAACTACGCTCTCAGGGTACCCACCTTATTTTAATAATGTACTGTGTTATTGTAACTACGCTCTCAGGGTACCCACCTTAATTTAATAATGTACTGTGTTATTGTAACTACGCTCTCAGGGTACCCACCTTATTTTAATAATGTACTGTGTTATTGTAACTACGCTCTCAGGGTACCCACCTTAATTTAATAATGTACTGTGTTATTGTAACTACGCTCTCAGGGTACCCACCTTATTTTAATAATGTACTGTGTTATTGTAACTACGCTCTCAGGGTACCCACCTTAATTTAATAATGTACTGTGTTATTGTAACTACGCTCTCAGGGTACCCACCTTATTTTAATAATGTACTATGTTATTGTAACTACGCTCTCAGGGTACCCACCTTATTTTAATAATGTACTGTGTTATTGTAACTACGCTCTCAGGGTACCCACCTTATTTTAATAATGTACTGTGTTATTGTAACTACGCTCTCAGGGTACCCACCTTATTTTAATAATGTACTGTGCTATTGTAACTACGCTCTCAGGGTACCCACCTTATTTTAATAATGTACTGTGCTATTGTAACTACGCTCTCAGGGTACCCACCTTATTTTAATAATGTACTATGTTATTGTAACTACGCTCTCAGGGTACCCACCTTATTTTAATAATGAACTGTGTTATTGTAACTACGCTCTCAGGGTACCCACCTTATTTTAATAATGTACTATGTTATTGTAACTACGCTCTCAGGGTACCCACCTTATTTTAATAATGTACTGTGTTATTGTAACTACGCTCTCAGGGTACCCGCCTTATTTTAATAATGTACTGTGTTATTGTAACTACGCTCTCAGGGTACCCACCTTATTTTAATAATGTACTGTGTTATTGTAACTACGCTCTCAGGGTACCCGCCTTATTTTAATAATGTACTGTGTTATTGTAACTACGCTCTCAGGGTACCCAACTTATTTTAATAATGTACTATGTTATTGTAACTACGCTCTCAGGGTACCCACCTTATTTTAATAATGTACTATGTTATTGTAACTACGCTCTCAGGGTACCCGCCTTATTTTAATAATGTACTGTGTTATTGTAACTACGCTCTCAGGGTACCCGCCTTATTTTAATAATGTACTGTGTTATTGTAACTACGCTCTCAGGGTACCCACCTTATTTTAATAATGTACTGTGTTATTGTAACTACGCTCTCAGGGTACCCACCTTATTTTAATAATGTACTGTGTTATTGTAACTACGCTCTCAGGGTACCCACCTTATTTTAATAATGTACTGTGTTATTGTAACTACGCTCTCAGGGTACCCACCTTATTTTAATAATGTACTGTGTTATTGTAACTACGCTCTCAGGGTACCCGCCTTATTTTAATAATGTACTGTGTTATTGTAACTACGCTCTCAGGGTACCCAACTTATTTTAATAATGTACTATGTTATTGTAACTACGCTCTCAGGGTACCCACCTTATTTTAATAATGTACTATGTTATTGTAACTACGCTCTCAGGGTACCCGCCTTATTTTAATAATGTACTGTGTTATTGTAACTACGCTCTCAGGGTACCCGCCTTATTTTAATAATGTACTGTGTTATTGTAACTACGCTCTCAGGGTACCCACCTTATTTTAATAATGTACTGTGTTATTGTAACTACGCTCTCAGGGTACCCACCTTATTTTAATAATGTACTGTGTTATTGTAACTACGCTCTCAGGGTACCCACCTTATTTTAATAATGTACTGTGTTATTGTAACTACGCTCTCAGGGTACCCGCCTTATTTTAATAATGTACTGTGTTATTGTAACTACGCTCTCAGGGTACCCGCCTTATTTTAATAATGTACTGTGTTATTGTAACTACGCTCTCAGGGTACCCACCTTATTTTAATAATGTACTGTGTTATTGTAACTACGCTCTCAGGGTACCCACCTTATTTTAATAATGTACTGTGTTATTGTAACTACGCTCTCAGGGTACCCGCCTTATTTTAATAATGTACTGTGTTATTGTAACTACGCTCTCAGGGTACCCGCCTTATTTTAATAATGTACTGTGTTATTGTAACTACGCTCTCAGGGTACCCACCTTATTTTAATAATGTACTGTGTTATTGTAACTACGCTCTCAGGGTACCCACCTTATTTTAATAATGTACTATGTTATTGTAACTACGCTCTCAGGGTACCTACCTTATTTTAATAATGTACTGTGTTATTGTAACTACGCTCTCAGGGTACCCACCTTATTTTACTAATGTACTGTGTTATTGTAACTACGCTCTCAGGGTACCCACCTTATTTTAATAATGTACTGTGTTATTGTAACTACGCTCTCAGGGTACCCACCTTATTTTAATAATGTACTGTGTTATTGTAACTACGCTCTCAGGGTACCCACCTTATTTTAATAATGTACTGTGTTATTGTAACTACGCTCTCAGGGTACCCACCTTATTTTAATAATGTACTGTGTTATTGTAACTACGCTCTCAGGGTACCCACCTTATTTTAATAATGTACTGTGTTATTGTAACTACGCTCTCAGGGTACCCACCTTATTTTAATAATGTACTGTGTTATTGTAACTACGCTCTCAGGGTACCCACCTTATTTTAATAATGTACTGTGTTATTGTAACTACGCTCTCAGGGTACCCACCTTATTTTAATAATGTACTGTGTTATTGTAACTACGCTCTCAGGGTACCCACCTTATTTTAATAATGTACTGTGTTATTGTAACTACGCTCTCAGGGTACCCGCCTTATTTTAATAATGTACTATGTTATTGTAACTACGCTCTCAGGGTACCCACCTTATTTTAATAATGTACTGTGTTATTGTAACTACGCTCTCAGGGTACCCACCTTATTTTAATAATGTACTGTGTTATTGTAACTACGCTCTCAGGGTACCCGCCTTATTTTAATAATGTACTGTGTTATTGTAACTACGCTCTCAGGGTACCCACCTTATTTTAATAATGTACTGTGTTATTGTAACTACGCTCTCAGGGTACCCACCTTATTTTAATAATGTACTGTGTTATTGTAACTACGCTCTCAGGGTACCCACCTTATTTTAATAATGTACTATGTTATTGTAACTACGCTCTCAGGGTACCCACCTTATTTTAATAATGTACTGTGTTATTGTAACTACGCTCTCAGGGTACCCACCTTATTTTAATAATGTACTGTGTTATTGTAACTACGCTCTCAGGGTACCCACCTTATTTTAATAATGTACTGTGTTATTGTAACTACGCTCTCAGGGTACCCACCTTATTTTAATAATGTACTGTGTTATTGTAACTACGCTCTCAGGGTACCCACCTTATTTTAATAATGTACTGTGTTATTGTAACTACGCTCTCAGGGTACCCACCTTATTTTAATAATGTACTGTGTTATTGTAACTACGCTCTCAGGGTACCCACCTTATTTTAATAATGTACTGTGTTATTGTAACTACGCTCTCAGGGTACCCAACTTATTTTAATAATGTACTATGTTATTGTAACTACGCTCTCAGGGTACCCACCTTATTTTAATAATGTACTGTGTTATTGTAACTACGCTCTCAGGGTACCCACCTTATTTTAATAATGTACTGTGTTATTGTAACTACGCTCTCAGGGTACCCACCTTATTTTAATAATGTACTATGTTATTGTAACTACGCTCTCAGGGTACCCACCTCATTTTAATAATGTACTATGTTATTGTAACTACGCTCTCAGGGTACCCACCTCATTTTAATAATGTACTATGTTATTGTAACTACGCTCTCAGGGTACCCACCTTATTTTAATAATGTACTGTGTTATTGTAACTACGCTCTCAGGGTACCCACCTCATTTTAATAATGTACTGTGTTATTGTAACTACGCTCTCAGGGTACCCACCTTATTTTAATAATGTACTGTGTTATTGTAACTACGCTCTCAGGGTACCTACCTTATTTTAATAATGTACTATGTTATTGTAACTACGCTCTCAGGGTACCCGCCTTATTTTAATAATGTACTGTGTTATTGTAACTACGCTCTCAGGGTACCCACCTTATTTTAATAATGTACTGTGTTATTGTAACTACGCTCTCAGGGTACCTAC